AATACATATAACGACTATTTACATAGCATTTCACATTATATTAGGTATTATAAATAGCCTAGAGATAATTCAAAGTATATGGGAAGATGTGTGTCAATTATAGGCAAAGTCACCATTTTATCACATAAGGGACTTGAGCATCCACAGATTTTGGCATCCAAGAGAGGTTCTGGAATCAACCTCCCATGGATACCGAGGGACAATTATAATAATATGACAACAGATTCTCTTAGAAAAGCATTAATTGTTCTCCCAATCTTCTCAACATTAAAAAAAAAACAAAACAAAACTCAGATAACTCATACCATTTTCACATTTTGACAAAAATGTCTGGCCAGATCGACGTCCGTGAAGATGGTAAACATGTCTAGTGCTTCATTTGCACTGCAGATTTCTTTCAGAATACAGAGTGTTTTCACCAACTCTTTCATTTCTGCTTAAATAGCCTGAGATCAACGGAGGCAGCTGAAACTGCACCTTTTGATGAGGAAACTGAAACAAGAACGGTGAAAACGACTGTCCCGGGGTACGGGCTATTTTAGCTCACTTGTTTCGAACCCAAAGGACATCTCGTGTGTGGGTTGCACTGATTCGAAAATGCTACAGAGCTGTGTGTGAATACGGGGATCGCCAAAGTTCTCAGCTCAACCCCTGAGAACGTCCACGGTCTTCCCTAAGTCAGTCTTTTCAGACAGACAGACAAGCACCACCAATCCGGGCCTGAACGTATACACAAGACACTACGTAGGAGAGAGGTTTTGCTTTCACGTGGTTTCAGATATGACTTGTACCACGCCATGAGGCATGTGTCAACGAGAGTCTAAAGAAGCATTTAAAGAAAGAATCGCAGAGCTATTGTAAGTAGAAAAATCAACATTTTCTCTTTTAAATCCATTTCTGCTCTCTTGCTGGTAAATAGTTACATTTTATTAAAAACAAATAACAGATGGGAAGCAGGAAGACCACGGTAGGAAGACAGTTTGAATAGCGCACTGAATTCGATGCTCTCTAGGGTCTATTTTTGCTCTAAAATCCTGTGACTCAAAGGATAAACTGATCGGGCTTGCTAGAACAAGGACCGTGGATTTCAGTTCAGCAAGGAAGGAACACTGAAGTCTAAATTTTAAAGTCTGGGCGGTGATTTAAATTTGAAGATAATCAGGAACCAGATCAGGAAAATCAAGCAGTTTGGTCTATTTTCTGCAGGCCCATGGTTTTGTAAGCCCAAGAGAAAAGCTATTTTTCTTCTGAAAGATAAACAGAAAACGAGTACAGCATTAGAAATACCTATCCCTTCTCAAACTGTTGAAGAAATAGATGACATTGTAAATCAGAAAATGTCCACGATGACTAGATGCAGGAGAAAATGAGTAATTGAGTTAAGAAGAGTGAAGCTTCTAAACAAGTCAGAGCCGTTTCATGAGAATGGGTAAAAAATGTTATTAATTATTAATTAGAAGAATGTCTACAAGACAGTGCTAACGGGCAAGCTAAACCTTCTAACCCTATTCCCCACAGGCAAACCAGCGAAATACAAACCACCAACACTTCTGATAGACAGCTAGCGTTCACCGGGGAGCGGGTGGAAATTCTTACTACAGAGCCTGGGTCTAGACCAGGTTTCGCAATAGCTAATGCCACGACCTTAGCTACTAACCATGACCTTAGAGAAGTCGTGTGACATCTCCGTGTATCCTTTTTCCTTCCGTGACATGAGTCAGTTGGACCAGGCGACATCTGTCTAATGGTCCCAAGTTAATAGAGTTTCAATTCTCTGTCTGCTCAACTCAGCATAAAAATATAAAATTTGGATGCCAATACTCTCATGCAAACAATTTTTGCACTATGTTACACGGATTTTAATGCATAGTGAAAACATCTCCGAGAAACTTAATTCAGCCCGTATGTCAAAAGTTACATAAACTCTACCTTTCGTAGCCTTAAGGGTGTCTACATGGGATTGTCTGACTTCACTCACCTTCCATTCAAACTCGTAACACCCCCCGACCTTCCCTACTTCCTTCGATGCCGACACTTAAAGCATTTTAAAGCTTTAAATCTTTGACTCTTCTCCTTTATTTCTTACGTGCAATTCGTAAGTAAATCCTCATGATTTCCTTAAAATATATCGGATCTACCATTCTTCTTTTCTTTCCTCTCTCTCTTACCAAAATCCACGTTCTCCATCTCCCTACTTGTCTAAATTTGTAAACGTAATATTCCTAAGGACACGAATTCACCTCGCTACTCAGCTGCCGCGATTGCTCCCCAGTATTTGCGGGACGGCACGAAATAATCTTCAGCTTGGCCTCAGGGTTTACAACATTTGGCCTTACCCTGCTTTTGCGTCTTGGTTCTCAGTACTTGCCACCACCATGAACTCTCTACCAAGTAGCCCCCCTCTGCCTGCCCCACCCCTCCCCTCAAAGCCAGCACCCCGATTTCACTCCTTGTCATGCTATTTCCCCTCCACGCTTCTCCACTTCCTGGAATAATCTTCCCCCACTTAACTTTGTGGCCTGTTTCTATGTCTTTATCAGAATTTTACTCAAAACATAATCGCATAAAGCTGCCTTCCTGGACCACTGTATCTTTAATTACTACTTCACCATGCCACCCAACTACCTTTTTCATACATACATGAAAAAAAAAAATATATGTATATCTCCTACCACTTCATGGTACTTAGCCCATTCTTATTTATTTTCTTGTTTATGTCTTTCTCCCGCTCCAGACTCTAAGACTCTAAGTTCAACAGCAACAGAGACTTTTGTCTGTTACGCTCATTAATGCTCAAGAAATACTTTTGAATGAATTTGTATTTTAAAAACTGAACACAGAATAGTAATAATAATCAAACAAATGCCAATATAAAATTGAAAGCTTACTATGTGCCAGGCTGTGTACATACTATCCATAAAATAATCTTATTATTATCTATTATTACCTACTTTCCTCCTTGCTATATAAAGCAAGGTTTAAAGAGGTTAAATAATTTTCCCGAGAACAAACTACTAATAAATGTACTAAAAATAAGCCCAAGGCTTATTTATTACTGAAAATAAGTGCTAGGCTGAGCTCATCCAACCGTAAAAAGCAAAATTAAGATTTTTGGGGGGCTATGGGGGAAGAACTCCTCAGAGAGCTGCTTATAAAACCTTTTCCCAAGAAGCTAATATTTTAATTTGTTGTCCTCTTTGTTAGTCATTTATTTTATACTTTTCCATAAACTTTTGTGCCTCCTTCTTTATCTGCCCTTTACCTCCCAGCGGAGAATATCTTCAAACATTATGACTTCACGCAAGAGTAAAAATTCCATCTTAAAAAGACATCTTCGGTTCCCATGCAAAGGACAAGAACAGAACGAGTAGCCAGGGTTCTCATGATGTGAGGTAAGGCAATCGTTAAGGAGGGAGGGGAAAGAAAAGAATCGCTTTATTCATAATTACCTAAGATTTTCCAGCATGAGAGGGGAAAGAGGAAGTCTATTTTCAGTGACAATGATTACTCTAAAAATATTAACATGCAAGGGAAAATTTTCGTTCTGAGAGTTATTACTGTGCCGAGTTCTCTTTCCCTCGCAGAGCGACTTAAAATTCCCAGAGTAGAGAGGTGATCTAGACAGACGAACTTGCCCTGTGTCTTCAAAACGGCAATAGCCAGGAATCACGGGCGTTTCCCTACGTACACACTGCAGAGAATTTCTCAGCAAGAGCGAGACCCCGTCTCTACTAAAAACAGAAATTAATCGGACAACTAAAAATACATAGAAAAAAAAAAAATTAGCCGGGCATGGTGGCGCATGCCTGTAGTCCCAGCTACCCAGGAGGCTGAGGCAGGAGGGTCGCTTGAGCCCAGGAGTTGGAGGTTGCTGTGAGCTAGGCTGACGCCACGGCACTCTAGCCCGGGTGACAGAGTGAGACTCTGTCTCAAAAAAAAAAAAAAAATGGATTTCTCAGCACCAGGACAGTCTCCAACAAGTAGCAAGTGGCAGAGTGGATGCATATAGACTCAGGCATCTGGAGTGAGGGCAGAGATTACAGGCTTTTGAGAAGATGTTATGATGAATGCATAAACAGGATTCAGTGAAAGTGAAGCTGAATTACCTGCTAAAAGAGTTATAGAAAAAAAAAAATGCCTAATTCTTCTTTTTCGCTCCCTAACCTCCAGTTTCTTCCCTGCGATGTTCCTTGAATTTTAACTGGCTTACAGCACAGGCAAAGGGATATATCATAGAATTCATTCTACTCTTCGTCTTAAATATTTTGGAAAAAAATACATGATTTCCCTACTTCTCTACCTGAAAATGGTCCGACAACCCTTAGGTTAGACTACTGAGCAGCTCATTGACACTCAGAGCAAATTGATCTTTATTAAGACCAATTATAAGAACATGATGAAAAAAGTATTTAGCGTCTTGCCCTCTGTCACTGACTATTTGTATTTTCAGGAAATCATATAAAAAAACCACACGGGTTCTCCTGGGATCTGCCGTAATTTACTCTCTGCTGGTTCTGTGGTGCCAAAATGTTCTGAAACCTGGCCACCTGGGCTTCACAGGGGCTGACTTGTCAGACCAGCAAATAACCACAAATACCTCTTATTTGGTCCTTAACAAGATTGAGACAAAGTGGTTATAAATGAGGTAAAAATGGAGAAGAGAAATACTGTAACATGTGGTTACGGATATCATATGTCTCTATATTTACAGTTATCTACGAATGATTCTTATCTCTTTTTAAAAAATGCATAGACATTGAGAATCTGGTGAAAATGTTTATTTTCTCCAGAAAAATACAGATTAAGGCAGCACACAACTTTAGGGGATTCATAGATCTTATCACCTAATCCATGTGTCCAAAGCGCAGTCATGAAGGTATTTGAGAGAGCGCCAAGTTATTTAGAGTTGAAGGTTGGAAGAGAGGTTCACCATTAAGTTGGAATAAACTCATACTTGCAAAACAAGCATCATCTGTCTCCCCGGCCCCCCCAAATCTTACCAGCAGCTCCGTCCCTCACTGCTCCGCCTGGATCATGTCCTGCCGGCTGCTGCTGAGCCCATCTCCTGCTTCCAAGCGGGGTAACTCAACGGGAGCAAAGGCAAGTAGACAATCTTGAGAGAGCGTGCCGCTGAATGTTTGCCAGCCTAGGAAAGACACAGCGTTTGAATATTTTTGAGTTAGCAAAAAGCAACAGGACATACACATCTGGCATAAAAGCTATCGCGTAGAGTTTAAAAGGTTCTAGATACCTATAATGACCTATTTCCTTTACACTGTTGGCTACTAAAAATTTTAGGGTTAGAGGATCTTTCTCAAAGCAACGCCACTCTCAAATGCACCCTAACAATATTGCCTAATATTCGTGGGGCACTTTGCAATGTCCAAAGCACCGTTGGTCCCCACATCCTGACTGCATCATCAGCTGGACTTGGGAACCACTGCCTTGTATTCCTTCATCTGCTGAGCCCACTGGTTCTCAGCCTGGTTTACGGGAATATCACCTGGGTACAGAGCCGAACATTTATGCTCAGAGACTCTGACTTGGTGGGCTCAGAGGAAGCTTTATTCCCCAGGTAATTCTAAGGTGAAGCCAGGATCGCGAATCATTAGCATAAGCCCTTGTAGTTGTTGAGACGTAGCACTAACTTAACCACAAACAGCAAATATTTATTCAGTACATACCGCATCGAGACAATGGGCTAAGTGCTATGAAAAAGGCAAAGCATCATAACATGTGTTTTCTGTGCTCAATGGAGGGCTTTAATTTAGCTGGAGAGACTGGACACGTACCTTAAAAAGATCACCTAACAAAATGCATGCTTTAAAACCACACGTAAGACTTCATTTGGTCTAAACTGCAGTGAAAATCTTGAGTGCTACAAAAAATAGAGGAGACTATGCACCAAAAGAAGGGAGAAAGTTTAATGCATGCTGCAAGTCCACTGACTTCTCAGAGCAGGTGAAACGAAGAGAAAGAGAGAAACGGGGAGAGAGCACTGTTTTCAGGCAAAGATACAGCTACAGAAACGCTCACAGCAAACTGGGGAGACTAAGAAGCCCCCTCCGACTGGAGGGTTTCTATAAAGGAGCGTAAGAAGAATCTGGAGACACAGAGTCGAAACAGAATCTAAAGAGCTTTGGTAAAACAGGTAAAGGAGTTGGGCCATTTTCCTGAATATCCGGAAATAGTATTGGAATATCCTTAAACGGTATCGGAAGCTCACGCCGTAGGGCTCTTGGTAAATTGACTGAGTTCTCCATAAACATCAGACACTATGCTAGACGCACCACCTATGTTACCTCATTTAACGCTCACGGAAACCTGGTAAGGTCCTTACTGTTATTCCTATCGTACAGAGTAAGAAGGGAGATCTCTTAATATTTTCTCAAAGTCGCATAGGTAAAAATAGCTGAGACTAGGCCATGGTGTTAAGATGTAAGGGGTGTTTTGAGATATAATTTGCATATCATAAAATTCTCCCTTGTAAATTATACAGTTTGGGGGGTTTTAGTATATCCAAAAAGTTATGCCTCTATCACCTAACGACACCATCTAATTCCACGACATCTTCATCACTCCCAGAATAAACCCGGTACCCATGAGGAGTCCGTTCTCCTTCACGCTCCCCCCGGGGCCTTGGTGACGTTAACCGAGTTTCTGTCTCCATGGATTTACCTATTCGGTACAGTTCGTATAAATGAAATCAGACACAAGATATGTGTAACATAAAAGTCGCCATCCAAACCACATGCAAGCATACAGTTCTGTAGCATGGAGTACATGCACATGGTTATGTAACAATTACCACCAACCATCCCCACAATTTTTCACCTTCCTAAGCAGAAACTCTGTGCTCCTTGAACGATAATTCCCTATTCTTCCCTCCTCCCAGCCCCATCATTCTCCTTTCTGCCTATGACTGCTCTGGGCACCTCATCTAAGTGGAATCATCTATCTGCCCTTCTGCAACTGGCTCATCTCACTCATCAGAATATATTCAAGATTCATCCACGTTGTGGCACCTGTCACAATCCCCTTCCTTTTAGAGGCCGAATAATAATCCATTTTGCGTCTACACCCCATTTTGTTTATCCATTCATTCACCGACAGACATCGGGGTTGCTTCCACCTTTTAGCTACTGCGAACAGTGCTGCGATAAACACCATGCCCAACACTTGCAAGTTTGTGAGTGAACATAATTCTCAATTCTCTTAGGAGCGGATTCCTAGGAGTAGAACGGCTGGATCGTGGGGTGGTTCCAGGCTCAACCTGCCAAACTGGTTTTGCAAAGTGGCTGCATTATTTACATTCCCATCGTCAATGTTCTAGGGTTCTGATTTTTCCACATCCTCACCGACACTTGTTACGCCTTTTTATTATGTCCATTCCAGTGAGCGTGAAGTAGTAGAAGATTTAGGTATCATATAAATAATCACACACGAGATACTGGCTTACAGCAGTAGTTCAAGTATAAGGGTCTGACCAAGACGGTGGCAGAAGAAATGAAGTCAAATGATCAAACAGGGACATATTACAGACAAAGAAATGAATGGCGTTTGGTAACATTCTAGATGTAGGCAGGAAAAACTCAATTGTAGCAATAAAGCTTTGACTTTGGCTGCTTGAAGCAATGATGGTATTAATCAGAGAAACACAGTTCTAGAAAGAGATCTGAAATGGCAGAATAGATTCTTGACATGATGCATTTGAGAAAGATCTATGTATTCCAAATAAATAAGCATCAGGCAGGTGAAGGTGAAGTTCAGGAGGGTCAGGGTTGGAGACAACGAACTATGTCCTTTTTCTTTCTTTTTATTTTTGGAAAGTGTTAAAGACGTATTGGCAAGATGAGAAGACCATTATAAGTGCTTAGATTTCTAAGGCTGAGTTTAGCAACTTATGAACCCAACACTGAGGAAGGCAGGGGAGGTTCTGCTTTCCTATTTTCTGTTTAAAATAGTAAAGCGATACTTAATAGTAAGTAAAAATAGTAAGTAAATATATTAAGCTCAGAGTTTTATCAGAACTCCAGCTGTAAGTCCCTGGAGTTAGCATCCTGTTGTTATCTATACTGCAGGATGGTGGTGCCCTTGGTTCTCCGGACGGTGAGTGCGGGCGTAGCGGGACTGCTCTCTGAGGGCCACACGAGACTGAGGGTCCTAGAGGACCAAGTGTCACCGTAAGCAGTTATCTGGCTGGCTAGGAATCAAGCTGGCGAACTGTCAACATGAGCTGTTTAAAAGATCTATGTCCTTCGAGCATGAATTAAATAGCCGAGAAACATGAAGTTCCAGTTTTCTATGCCCAGAACAGCCCCCTTCGTAAAAAGGGGCCGTCCCCAACAAATAGAATAGTCTCTGTGAGAACACAGTTCCTCGATGGTTAATAACTCTGGCTTTGTTCAGCACTAGAAAGTCTCCACTATGATAATACACAGGAATGAACAGTTATACACGGCACACACGCTTGCATATCTGTTTTGAAACGAAAGCTTAACGATGCCATTTAGAATCCTGAGGCAAACACTCTCAAAGAAAATACGAACCATTGTCAGCCAGCTCATACACTGAGTTTTCCCTCTGACATGATGTACTGGGTTTTTTTTTTTCTTTTTTAATCATTTAGACAATGAAACAGAACATACATAGAAAGGGTAACTGCTGAAGACAGAGGCTAAGGGAAGAGCAATGGAAGGGGCGTAAAAGAAACAAAACTAAGAATAAAAGCCTATCAGCACATTTAAATATTCTCACTTCCACACATATCTACGTTTTTAATTGATTAAAATATACTTTAAAGACCTCTCTTTGTTTCCCTAAACTGAAGCCCATTTAGGCCGGGCATGGTGGCTGACGCCTGTAATCCTAGCTCTCTGGGAGGCCGAGGCGGGAGGATCGCTTGAGCTCAGGAGTTCGAGACCAGCCTGAGCAAGAGCGAGACCCCAACTCTACTAAAAATATAAATAAGTAAACTGAAGCCTATTCTAAAATATTTCATCTTTATCAACCATCCACTATGTTTTAAAAAGGTAGTATCTACTTTCTGCAATATTTTCCAGAAAGGAAGATTTAAAAAAACAATGACGATAAAAATAGATAAAATTTATTGAATGCACTCTAAATCATTTAATCTTCAAAATACTATCAGCCGTGTACCTTAGCACCCTCAGGAGGTGGCAGGGCCTATACTCTCATTCAACAGGCCTCTTGGCCTCCACAGACATGGAGGAGATTCAACGAAAAAACCATTTCGTTTTGGTGAAAGAGAAATAATTCTATATTTCAAACCTTAGAGGCGGACGCTTTCAAAAAAAAAATGAAAAAAAAAAGTTTTCTCTAAAAACAAGTCACTCTGCCTATAAATTTCTACGTACATCCTTACAAATGACGTACGTTGTGTAGGAATGAATCATTCTCCTTTCAATAGATGCATCCATTATTGATCAGATACTCACATTACAAACAGGGGACTGTGTTCGTCACGGTGGATCTAGCCCCTCCCTTCCCTATTGTGATACTGACACACCTTCCCCGCGTGTTTCTTCCAAGATTTCCAGCAATAGGTTTCCTTCCTGTTGAAATGCTACCTCGGCTCCTTCCCTACTTGCTCTGATTCTCCTCCAGGCTCAGACGGGGTCAGACTGGCGTTTCCCGAACAGCAGGTTACTGACCTCAGCAGGATGTGCCCACAAAATGTTTCTTCTCCCATTACACACACACACACACACACACACACACTCTCTCTCTCTCTCTCTCTCTCTCTCTCTCTCTCTCTCTCTCTCTCTTTTCTCTGTAAGTAAATGATCTCCACGGTACAGAGCCCAGAGGGAGGTGCTATTGCAGAGCATCAGCTACTTGGCAGCGATGCTTGTTCTACTATTAATGCTTTAAAAAAGAAAATCACTACATAGTAGTTAAAGCTCTTAGAAGAAAATTAAAGACCTCGTGTGTATTCACTTCCTGCTCCTCCTAACACAAAGACGGTGACTCCCAAGGAAGAATTCAGTAAGTGTTTGCAGAGCAAATTCCACGAAGATAAAAAGAAATTTATGCCATGCAAGGTTGATTCTAATCAAGTCTTTATAGAACCAGAATTGCCAAACAAAGCTGAAACATCGACCACCGGTTATAAACCACGCAGCG